CCCTGTTTTAATAATAATAACCCCATCAGGTATTAATTTTCTAAGTCAGAAAATTCAATGACAAGAATGGCAAATGAAATTGTGATTATAAGTGTCTCTGATTATTAATATAATTTTTATACAAGTTTCATGAATCTGTGGCAGGATACATTCACAGAAAACTATACTCATTACTTGTTATTCTTAAATGAAATTAGGATATTTTCATAAACCAAAAGAAGAATGGCATTGTTTTACAAGTATATAAACAATTTTAATATTGACCTTCATGGAAGACAGCTGGAGTCTCTTGGGTGCACTCACATTCACTCTGTGTGTTTGGTTGACGCCTATGAAGAGGTGGCCCCACAAAGACACACAACTGTAAGATGGATGAGTGTTTTGGTGGTCTTTTTAGGCATCCCAAGTGGAGGTTATTTCTTTAGAGACTGCAAGGATGGTTTTCTACTTTTATTATCCTTTCTGATTTTATCTCCTATAAATCATTTTCATGTTTCTTTCTTCCAAAAGGAAATTTGCTATTTTTAAATACAAGTTATAATGGAAATCTTGAGCTGGGAAATTTTTTTAAATTTAATTATCAATTTTCAAGGCAAACAATGTGCATGCTAGAAATTTCTAGAGTTTTCCCATGATTTTTGTGTCTTTCTCTCACTTGTTCCTTTTTATATTATCATGGAGTTTATATATTCAATGTGTTTTAGTCATTTGAATTTATGTAAATCATCTTCAGCCAGTGTCTTTCTGTTGCTAACAACATAATACACAGTCTGGGTGAGTTACGAGGGAAAGGGATCTATTTCTAGCCCATGATTATGGTCCCAGTTGAGGGAACACACCTAGTTTCTTCTTCGTTTCTGAGTCCTGAGGCAATGAAGGACACAAGTTGAGACAAGGAGCTAAACCAAGACCCAGAAAACTGGATGTTACAGAAGACCGTCTCCTGATGTAACTCTCGAAGTTAATGTTCTCCTAAGCCATGGATGGCACACACGGGGTAACCCACTCTGATGACAAAGCTCTAACCACTCATCCTACATGCTCCCACCTCTTAATCTCCCTATGTGGCATTTAACATCAGCATGAGGTTTTGAGGGCACAAACCAAACCACCTCTAGGGCATAGCATCAGCGTGGCTTTGACACACTCTTCTCAGCCTTCCATAAAGTCAAATTCTCTTTCACAAGAGGTCATCCTGTTCCCTGAGCACTACTTCATCAGCAGTTTCTCAAAGGGTTGTGGTTTATTTTGGATGAAAGAAGTAACCTTGAATACTCTGACTCCTGGTATCTGTTGCTGCCAACACTGGACAGACCTAGAAAATTTTGTTTTTAACAGTGAGGAGGACCAAGAATGTATACCATGATTTCACAATGCTATCCTACAGGTATTCAGGAACAATTCATTAGAAGGGATGTTCTGTCCATTGTAGGATGCTTGGCAGGGTGTCAGGACTCCCCTCCAGAAGTAACTACCTAAGTATCATTTAAAGTTGTATTAATCTATTGGAGAATGTCTTGAAGAGGGTTGAGGAAAATTGCCTCTAGTTGCCCTGGTTTCTCTTAAACTTGCAAAAATCTTTTAAATTCTTTTCACAAATATCCTTTAGTTAGAAATTAATGATAAATTTCTATATTTCTAGTAACATTAAAATAAACACTGTATTGTTACTGGTTTGCCAAGATGTGACCAAGTAACTGGCAGAATGACTTAGGGGAAGAATGGCCTGCTTTGGCTCACAGTTTTGGAGGGCTCAGCATGTGGATATTTGGCCCAAGTTGGGAACAAAAGTGTGAAAGCAGGAACACATGGAGGAATAAGCCCTTCACCTCATAGAAACAAAAAGGAAAGGGCCAGGAAAATCTGTGCCCAGCCTTTAGAGGCATACTTCCAGCCACCCACTGCTTACGGCTTCATCTTCCATTGTGAAACTGAGATTTTATTTTGTTTATTTTATTTTGTTTGTCTTGGTTTTAGATATAGATAATTTGCCTTCTCATCCAACATTTGAATGCATCTGTGACTTCATTGGTTTTGCACCTGCTGTGTTTTCTAACCCTGTTTTCATGGCTAAGGTAGCAAACCTCTTTAAACAGAGTTCAAGTTTTAGTGTTTTCCTTTAATCCTATTCAGGTCATGTCTTAGCCTCTCACCCATGCTTTTTTTGTTTTTCCTCTAAAAATGTATTCATGCTTTTTCCCTCCCACAACTCTTCTCAGATTCTCAACTCCCTATCCACTCACCTTTATGTTCTCCTCTCTCTCTGTATGTCTTTGTCTCTCTCCCTCCCTCCTCCTCTCCCACTCCATGTTTCAAACACACACACACACACACACACACACACACACACAGAGAGAGAGAGAGAGAGAGAGAGAGAGAGAGAGAGAGAAAGAAAGAAAGAGAGAAATAACCTTAAAATAAACAAGCAAAAACCACAATAAGAACAAAACAACAAATTACTGCAGTGAAATAAAGTCCCACAGAAAAACCATGGAGTTCACATTGTGTTGTCTAACTACTCTTTGGCTTGGGATGTGCCCTGGAGTGTTGTTGATAGACTCAGTGACAACCACCCATGGATATTAAACCCCAGGTCTTAGCTCCATTTGTGCCATTTGAGATAACCTCTTTGTCTTTTTTTCTTCACTTCTGCATTACAGAATTTGGCTCATTTAAAAAGTAGCTGAGACTGTAATGAAGCAACAGGTCTCTACAGTATTTTATCCAGGACTGCTGTGTCTCTGTGGCTGGAGGCATTTCTCCATGTGCACCAGTTCGCACTGCCTCAGCCTTCACTTTCTGGATTATAGTTCCTGAGACAAGCCACAATTACTCAGATTCTTTTCTGTATATTTCCCTCTTATTTCCAAACAAGAATGAAATACTGGGACTTCTGTCACACACAAATGACATTTGTTCACTTATGCTCTTATTAAAAGGCAACACAAAGGCTAGAGAGATGGCTTAGTGGTTAAGACCATGTACTGGTCCTGAGTTTGGTTCTCAGCACCCATGTCAGGCAGCTCAGTGAGATACTGTCTCCAATTAAGAGTGGAAGGTCTTCCCATTCTAGAAGAACACTAAACCAGAAGTCACAACATATGTGCAGAGGACCTGGTGCAGACCTGTGCATGCTGCTTCAGTCTCCTATTTAAAGGGATTTGCTTTCTTGGTATCTTCCTTTCCCTCTGCCTCTTCTTCCTTGGGGTTCCCTGAGGAGGGATTTGATGGAGACTTCCCATTTTGGGCTGAATGTTCCAAGGTCTCTCTGTGTGTGTGTGTGTGCAATGCCTGATTCTGGATCTCCATGTTTGTTTCCATCTTGTGCAGGAGAAGGCTTCTCTGCTAATAGCTGAACAAGGTATTAGCAGAACAGAATGGCATTAGGAGTAATATCATCACTATTTTTTTTCCTTTTTTAGAGCAGTATTATTTGCTTTTTTTCTAAGTTTCTGGGCTAAGAAACTTTTTTCTAAGTTTATCTAGTCTCAGGTTCTTGGTCACCTAAGCAGTGTTTGCTATGGACTACATCTGGTAGAGTGGGCCTTTAGTCAAATGAGTTATTGGTTGGTTACTTCCACAAACTTTGCGCCACCATTGCCCTAGTATACACACCCAGTAGAAAAACAGTTTGTGGTTGCCTTGGTGTTTATGTTACTCTTTTGATAGCATGCAGAACATCTTCATGTACCAAAGAGGCTGGAACATAGGGGTGGAGGGTCTATGTAGGCACCAGCTGGACATCATGTTCAATATAAGTGTTGTCTTCAGCAATGGGTCTTGTATCAAATTGTGGAGAGCAACCCTATGGTCTTGGTAACAGCCTGGGTTATTCGGGAATTCCCAAAGGTCCCTTTGGTCAATCACTTAATTAGATGTAACCCAATCCCAGTACTGGAAACTTCATTGGGTGACAAGAGATGGTCAGTGGAGATTCTTTCTCTCCCATTATTTGGCAATTTCATTTATATCATATATATATATTTTAAGACATTTCTACTTTATTAGTTTTTCATACTACCCCTCAACCTCACTCGCACTTAATCTTTGCTGTCTCTCCCAATATTTCCTTTCACAACTCCCTCTCCTCTCACACTTCCTATGTGCTTGAAGAGTGAGTCTCTGATTCTAGTGCCTTCTCTTGGAATCTTTTCTTTCTGTTGGTTCATCTTGTCCAATTTCAGTGTAATAGTGTTTGTTTTATCGTATTGTATTTATTTTGTTATATTTTTGAATGAGTGAATGAATGAATGAATGAATCAATCAATCAATGAAAATCTAGCCACCCCGGGTAAAGTTTAACACTGAATTGTCATTTATACCTTCTGTGAGAACAATTAGTTTTCTCCAGTAGAGTGACATTGGGTATGTCAACCACTCCAGGGCAGGCTTAATGGTCAGTAGTAGTTGATCCTGCATGATTGTCATGTTCCTTTAGCCAAACAAACTGCATAGGGATCAAGCTGTAACTAGCTTAGGCTATGCTGTGTCTGTTTCGCTGTTCTGATGGCCCAGCATTTATGTCCAAAGATGATCATAATTTAGAACAGACTGAGCCTCCAGACATTATGGAACCATTTAGACCATTTGTACATCCATTCCAATCTTCTATGGGTGCCCACTGGACCAGTAACATGGGTTATGTCAATCCCTTAAAGTTTTAACTTTATGTCAGTGAGCTCAGTTATCAGAAATGCCCTTCCCACTGGAATTTAAATGCTGGATTAGGCAGCTCTTTATCTGTCTTGACATAACATTGCATTCAATTTGATAATCACAGCTTCCTTATTTAGGTGTAAACAGTGGTTTAACTATTTCTAGCACTCACTATCACCTCATTTAGGCCCTGAAGTCACAGGTGAGGTCTGTCTCATTTCCAGGATGCAGTGGTGGCCAGCAAGACTGGCTGTGGGGGCCATTAACTTGATGCCCTATGTCTACCCTTCGACTTGGAGTCGTTAGAACTTGTGAATTATTTGTACTTTTTTTTCATTTTTTAGGGCAGCATAACTATTTATGTGCTGGAAGAAATGACTGCATTGTTGACAAAATCCGCAGAAAAAACTGCCCAGCATGTCGCCTGAGAAAGTGCTGTCAGGCTGGCATGGTCCTTGGAGGTAATGTTGAAGTTTTCAATAGTATATCAATAGTATACTATCTTATATTTCTCTTATAACGCTGAGTCAGAAGAATCCCATTTTTATTCATCTTTATTCTTGTTTTTCTTGTTTATTGGTGGTGACCCCTCATATTCTAGTTTGAAGTAACCAATAATACAATCCTGTTAATGCTGTAGACTTCCAGCATGATAAGTTCTGTTGGGAGAGGAACACCTATCCGTCTAGACTGTGTATCAGTAAACTTTATGGTAATGCCTGGACATGTCTTTAGGTGGTATGGGTTGGAGTCTAGGCTCTGCCACTTACTAGTGTTATTTTAAACAATTCACCAACCCTTTGGGGGCATCAGACTTCATAACCCTAGAATAAGAGAATAGAGTTCTCTTTAAGTTCAGAACTTGATTCTGAAACTTTGTGAGATGCAAATTAAGCCTTGACCAACTAAACTATGGTTACAACCATGGACTAAGAATTCATTTCATAAACGTGTGGTAGTAACTCATTGTATTTTTTGTTATTAGACTCTCTATGGCTTTTGATAATATAGTAGTAAATACATTAAAGTTGGACCTGGCAGATGAGCAAGTAGCTAAAGGTGCCACCAAGCCTAAGTTCAAACTTCAGAGCCCATGTAGTGGTGGGGGGGGATCAACTTCCCAAAGTTGTAGTCTATTCCTCGTATGTACAGCATGACATATGTGTGCCTGTGTGTGCTCTTGCACACGTGTGTATGTGCGAGCACTCGCGCGCGTGCACACACACACACACACACACACACACACACTCTTAATGAAACACATTAAAGTCATGGGCTAGAGACATAGTAAAATGCTTATCTTTCAAACCTGAGTACTTGAGTTTGCTCTCCAAAAGCTACCTTTTTTAAAAGGCTGAATATGGTAACACTGACTTATGACCCAAGTTCTACAGCGATAAAGACCAAAATGTCACTGAAATTTGGTGGTTAGTCAGTCTAGACTACTTGGAAAGCTACAGAACTGTTAACCAATACTGTCTCACATGAGAAGATAGAGGAATGACACCACCGATGGTTGTTCTCTGGCCTCCACAACCACATATACAAGAATGCATGAACACTCTTACACACACACACACACACACACACACACACACACACACACATGCTCTCACACACATACACATGAACATATTAAAGCCAGACTTTAAATGATGATTGTGTTTATTCTTTGAGAATTTCATATGTTTTGGTCATATTTGTTCCCTCAGTAACACTTCCCAGATTTCCCCTCACCTATCTACCCACACAAGTTCTACCTCTTTCTCCCTTCCTCTTTTTCTCTCTCTTAAGAATAAAATGCCATGGGATCCAGTTTCTGTTGGCCAACTCCTCGGGAGCACAAAGCCTGCCAAGAAGTGTGGCTGATAGACACAGAGTCATTCCACTGGGAGGGGGATATCATATCCTATACAAGAATGTCTAGGAATTGGTTTTGTGTGTGGATAAATCTGTCAAAAGCACAATGAGGCATGCATTACATGTTGAGATTAAAAGTTTTCTTCCTGGAGCTGCCTAATGCAAGCTTGCTTGTGTTCCCTCAATGTTCCACATTTCTTCCTTTGGAAAATGCTATTTTTAGACCAATATTCTTCAAATTTAAAACCTCACCCAAGTGTTATTTCCTCCCTAAAAAATTTGCCAATGTTCTTGGACAAAAACTAACACCCATTCAACATGCTGGTCACTTTTCTGAGCTGCAATAATTCACTGAGTTGCAACATTCTTCATATTTTATGGTTTCATGATTAGAGACTATTTTCCCCAAGTCAACGCCCAAGTCTTAAATGTGTCCATACAATGCCTGGTTGGGGAGGTGCTCAGAGGGCAGGGACTGCATCAATACACCCATTTTCAGGACTTCTCAAGTCCTGCACCTCATTGTCCTCCTCTTTCCTGTTCCATTTTATCCTCCCAAGTCTTTGTAATCTCCCACAGTTTTCGAAGCCAGGACTTCCCCACAAATCACGTGTATTGCTGTTGGATCTACAAGAAGGATGTGGAGATGCCGTGGCTACCCCTTGTTTCCATCACTGTTTTTTTTCTATGGCATGTTTACCTTAGGGAACACCAGGATCTCTAATGTAATGATTCACTTCCACTAGGATCATAACATTTTTATCAAGTCTCTGAGAATTTCATAATATATTTTGATCATACTCAACTCCTACTCCCCAATTCCTCCTAGATCCACCCCTCACCTCCTTATCCAACTTTGTGTTCTCTCTCTCTCTCTCTCTCTCTCTAATTGACAGCATGCAAAGTCTAGTTTGCACTGTACACATACTAATGGTTGTGGGGTCATCCATCCACTGGAGATTGGTTGACCCAATCCATCAGGAGCTTTAATCTAGGATTCTTCCCTAAATACATTTAAAGGATTCTTCCCTTTGAGTACAGATTAGAAATAGAGCTCTGGCAAGAATCTTCAGAGTATGTCTGATGATGTGGGTCTAACCTCGTGCTGTCTTATAATATTCTTGGGCTTTGCCCTGTCATCCAAGCTTGTGCAATCTTTCAATGCCTTCTCTATACAAACATCATGTCAGTTTACCACATTATTCAAACCATACCAGAATACCTCCATAATTACCACTATATTTTCACAATTCTACAGGATTACTGTTTTAGCTTTGATCCCTCCATCTCCTGACTTCTTCTCTTCCCTCCCCTCCTTTCCCTTCCTTCCTAATTTTCTTTCTTCCTGCCTGCTTCTTTACTCCTCTTTCTCCCTCTTTTTGATAGCAGCAGAAAATAAAATTTCTCACTGTGCACTATGCTTGTCCTGGAGGCAGGAGGCCCTTGAGCTTGATATCCAGGACTCACCTTTTCAGAAAGGCTGGGCAGGGTGATTCTAGTTCTAGGGTGGTGAAGATCAACACGTCACTGGGTTTGATGGCAGCTGGTCTAGCCTATTTGGCATGCTCTGGGGCTGTAGCAGACACTGTTTCACAAACTCCAGCCCTCATGGGGTTTGTACTCTGCAGTGGGGTTAGTGATACACTTGCTGAAGGACAAAAGTTTCTGTGAACAACATTGAATGGGTGGACAGGTGCATGAGTGTTAAGGAGACAGCTTGCCCCTGAGCCTTACTATGGATCACATCTTCACTTGACATAGCTGTTTCCTAAGAAGGGCTGGTTCTGAAACTGAGTTTGACAGTGATAATGTTACTAAAGCAGAGTGAATATATATACAAAACAGCTAAAATGAACATTCAAGGTACTGCCAAAAAAAAAAACGGTTTATGTAGCACAGGTGATTTTCATTCCTCCAGGGGAAGAATGGATTAGACCAACATGGTTTCTTTAGTGTGCTACACACCTATGTAGAGCTGTTTTTGCTGCTCCAACTTACAGAATGGTCTGATCTCTACTAAGGTAATTGAACTGTAAAAGATGGGAGTCTGAGTCTGGAGAGCAAGGGGCAGAGTTCACAGGGGAAGATTCGGAGAAGCCAGGAGTGTGGTCTGGTCTCAAGAGGGCTAAAAGTGGGAAAGAAGGGAATCAAGATCCACCGGGCCTTCCATGAGCCATGTACTGTAGTGCCTGTCATCTTTCAGAGCTCCTGTGGTCAGGGAAGCCCTGGCAAATATGGGCTTCCTCCACAAACTGGATTCCTTCACGTGCTGATCTTTGCATAGCTGTCTCTGCTTCCAGCTGTCTGTCCTACCTCTACAGGAAGGCAGTGTACTTGAACCACATTCCACACAGTATTATGCTAAGAAGGGTAAGGCCAGAGTGAATGCTGGGAGATACAGCCAATGTTTCCAAGAGCTCCAGAGTGTTAACATGTTATGAGAGGAAAAGGAGAGTGGTGTGTATAAAGCAAACACTGTGTGTCTGAAAAAGTACAATGCTGCACACCTTGGCAAGGATTATTTGGGGGGGAATCTCTATTATTTATTTATTTTTAGCCTCATTTTCCATTCCAACCAAAATTCTCCCTTCCACCCCTCCTCCCGCCCCCTTTACCTCCCCGCCCTGTCCTGTCTACCCCACATCCACTCCTCCAGATAGCTAAGGGCTCCCATGGGGAGTGGACAAAGTCAGGTATATTAAGTTGAGGCAAGACCAAGCCCCTCCCCACTGCTTTAAGTCTGAGCATGGCATCCCATCATAGGGAACTGGCTCCAACAAGCTAGTTCATTCACCAGGGAAAGATCCTGGTCTTACTGCCAGGGGTCCTTCAGACATCCCAGGCTTCACAACTGTCTTCCTCATGCAGAGAGCCTAGTTTGGTTCCATGGAGGCTCCACAGGTTTCAGCCTACAGTTCATCAGTTTCTGAGAACTTGGTTCAGCTGTCTCTATATATTTCTCCAAGAACATGAGGGAACTGGGTGGTCAAAGTGGGGAGGGATGGAGAGAGACAGAGGGGGAGAGAGAGAGAGAGAGAGAGAGAGAGAGAGAGAGGAAAGAGACACTCTGGTAGAGAGCCACTATGGGGTTAGGGAGAAACCTGGTGCTCAGGAAATTCCCAAGAATCCACAAGGATGACCCCAACAAGAAGACTCCAGGCATTAGTGGAGGGGGTGACCAAACTGGCCTTCCTCTGTAATCAGATTGGCGAATAACCTAACTATCCAGCAAGTGTGGAACCAGATGCAGAGATCCATAACCAAGCACCAGGCTGAACTCCGGGAATCCAGTAGAAGAGAGGGAGGAGGGAACACACGAGCAAGGGAGGTCAAGATCATGATGGTGAGGATTTTTCTAGAATGTAAGCCAGTAGAAAAGAAGTGAAGCTTAGAAGTTTTCTTGCAGCAACAGGAACCCGGAGTTTGAACTGCTTTCAACAGATAGTATAGAAGTGAACTTTTCAAGCAAATCCTTGGTCTGCCTGTGAATAAATCCCATTTTCTCACTCAACCCAGTCTTCCATCCCTGAGCTTGTCTTTCTTTTTTCCTCAGTCATCTCCACAACACTTCCGAGGCCTGTGTTCCGGGCCACCTTCATCT